AGTGAATCTTGTCAGTAATTGGAATCTCTACATTAGGTTGAAGGTTGCTGATGGGTGACTATTGTTTTTATCGGAACCTTCTCTATTACATGCTGATGGGTGAATCCTGTCTGAAAATGATGGGTGGGCATACGCCATAATTTGGAGATATCAAGATGAAACAAGATTTGCTCATCAGTTTCCTCATACAACACAATAGATTTCAACAACTAATGAGATTTCGCCCATCACATTTAAAGGCAGAATTGAAAAAAATAAATTAATAAACATGTTATACTCACCTGCTCTGTGCAGTGGTATTGCACAGAGTGGCCCCGATCCTTCTCTTCTGAGGTCCCCAACGGTGATCCTGGCTCCTCCTCTCCTTTGTGTGTCCCCATAGCAAACCATTTTGCTATGGGGACACACGCTGCGTGCATGCATGCTCCCGACTGTGTGTCTGTGTGACCTAGCAATATCAGCTTCAGTTCCTGAGCTTGGGCGATGAGAGAGAGAACGAGAGAGAGAAGAGAGAGACGAGAGAGAGAAGAGAGAGAGAGAGAAGAGAGGAGAGAGAGAGAGAGAGAAGAGAGAGAGAGAGAACGGAGAGATAGAGAGAGAGAGATAGAGAGAGAGAGAGAACGAGAACGAGAGAGAGAGAGAGAGAGAAGAGAACGAGAGAGAGAGAGAGAACGAAGAGAGAGAGAGGGAGAACCCAGCTGAGAGGGCGAGAGAGAGAGAGAGAAGAACGAGAGCGAGAACGAGAGAGAGAGAGAAAGAGAGAGAGAGAGAGAGAGAGAGAGAGAGAGAGAGAGAACGAGAGAGAGAGAGAGAGAGAGAGAGAACGAGAGAGAGAGAGAGAACGAGAGAGAGAGAGCAAGAGAGAGACGAGAGAGAGAGAGAGAGAGAGAGAGAACGGAGGAGAGAGAGAGAGAGATGAGAGACGAGAGAGAGAGAGAGAGAACAGAGAGAGAGAGAACGAGAGAGAGAGAGAGAACGAGAAGAGAGAGAGAACGAGAGAGAGAGAGAGAACGAGAGAGAGAGAGAAGAGAGAGAACGAGAGAGACGAGAGAGAGAGAGAGAGAGAGAGAACGAGAGAGAGAGAGAGAGACGAGAACGAGAGAGAGAACGAGAGAGAGAGAACGAGAGAGAGAGACTTGAGAGAGAGAGAAGAGAGAGAGAGAGAGAGAAACGAGAGAGAGAGAGAGAGAGAGAGAGAGAACGAGAGAGAGAACAAACGGAGAGAGAGAGAGAGAGAACGAGAGAGAGAGAGAACGAGAGAGAGAGAACGATAGAGAGAGAGAGAGAGAGAGAAGAGAGAGAGAGAGAGAGACGAGAGAGAGAGAAGAGAGAGAACGAGAGAGAGAGAGAGAGAGAGAGAGAACGAGAGAGAGAGAGAACGAGAGAGAGAGAGAACGAGAGAGAGAGAGAGAGAACGAGAGAGAGAACGAGAGAGAGAGAACGAGAGAGAGAACGAGAGAGAGAGAGAGGGAGAGAACGAGAGAGAGAACGAGAGAGAGAGAGAGAGACGAGAGAGAGAACGAGAGAGAGAACGAGGGAGAGAGAGAGAACGAGAGAGAGAGAGAGGGGAGGAGAGAGAGAGAGAACGAGAGAACGAGGGAGAGAGAGAACGAGGGAGAGGAACGAGAGAGAGGAAGGAGAGAGAGAACGAGAGAGAGAGAGAGAACGAGAGTGTGTAGGTAGGTAGGAGCTTGACTTTAATAAGAAGTTTTCTATACAATTTCTGCTCAAATTTAGATTTACCTTCAACTGTGTAGTGCAAGGGCCTACCTAATTGGATAAAATTGAAAGTGTTGTTTGGGTTTGACCTCCTATTATATGGTTTTTTGGTAAATCTAAAGCAAAAATCTCAAGAAAATGGTATAATGTATGGCCAGCCTTAGTATTTACATAACTGAGCACCCCAGATCTCAGGATGTCAGGTGGCTGCGATTACAAGCTGGCCCTCTAGGTGCTTGCTTTAATCTCTGTACACCTGGACACAGCTATGCTCTTTATCCTACTCACCTAAAATGTTTAAAAAAAAAGGTTGTAAATAATAAATATCATATTACCTGCATATATTTGGTTTCTATAGTTAAAAAAAAAAAAAAAAAAAATTAAAAAAAGGTCTTGTCTTCCTTTACCTTGTCCCAAACATACCTGTAGCCACCCTGGAATAATGTACAGAAGCTAAAATCTAATATTGAGGAGTGCTGTCAACAATGCTTGGAAGTTAACCTCTTCACGCCGGCCGAACACAAATGTGCGGCCTCCTGACGTCTGGGCCTAGACGTCGAGCAGCCGCACATTTGCGTTCTATTAGAAAAGGGCATATGTGCCGAGAGCGCGCGCCCTGCACGCTCCCAGCACACGTGTCCGGTACTCACGGAAAGGTCCGGTCTCCTCTTTCGATCGGGACCTTTCCCGATCATGTAACCGCCGTGACGACGCGTCACGGTGGTCACATGACCCCTAAACCCCCGCCCCCTGAAACTCTTAAAGGGCCGGGAGGCGCCGGCGTGAAGGGGTTAAAGCGGAAGTTCAGTCAAACACTAACTATACATAAATCTACTCCCATCCCCATTCGAAGCCTTTTCTATCTGCCCTGTAGAGGAATGATCTGTACACTTACCTATTCTGAGGGCGCTCTTGTCCGGTCACATGGTCAGGTCTCAGCATCGGCTTCAGAGAAGAGGAGAGATCACCAACAACGGCTGCAGAGCCTTGGCTATGACATCACCCATAAGATTGCTATGGGGTATCCATTGTCAGCTGTCCCTCCTCTACACTGAAGCCTTCGCTGGTACCTGATCATGTGACCAGACTGGAGTGCCCTCAGAATAGGTAAGTATACAGACCATCCCCATTCTAAGCCTACTCTATCTACGCTGTAGAGGAACGGTCTGTACACTTACCTATTCTAAGGGCACTCTGGTCTGGTCACATGGTCAGGTCCCAGCATCGGCTTCAGAGAAGAGGAGAGATCACCAACAACGGCTGTAGAGCCTTGGCTATGACATCACCCATAAGATTGCTATGGGGTATCCATTGTCAGCTGTCCGTCCTCTACACTGAAGCCATTGCTGGTACCTGATCATGTGACCAGACTGGAGTACCCTCAGAATAGGTAAGCACAGACCTCTTTGCTTTCACAGGGTACATAGAACAGGCTTTGAATGGGGGTAGGAGTAGATTTAAATATAGTAAGTATTTGATTGAACATCCACTTTAAAGACACACTGAGGTTGATTTACTAAAACTGGAGAATGCAAAATCTGGTACAGCTCTGCACAGAAACCAATCAGATTCCAGGTTTTATTGTCAAAGCTTACTTGAACAAACTGAAGTTAGAAGCTGATTGGCTACCATTCACAGCTGCACCATAATCCAAGTGCTAGCGTTTTAGTAAATCTGTCCCTCTGTCATTTTTCCCCATGATGATGGTTCCTTCTGATAACTCAGCGCCACCCTTCCCAACAAGGTATATTCAAATCGAATTTGGATATTCAGATCCAATCATGATGAATCCACCTCCAAGATCCATTGGAGCCCTCACTCCAACGATCTAATAGAACGTAGCTTTTGTGTATGGGGGAGCATGTGATCTCCCCCATGTGTCAGTGCTCAAGGTGTAAGCAACCAACCACCAGGCCCAAACACTATAACCTGGGGAGGAGGAACATCTTCCACTTCAACACCAGACTCCTGCAGCAGAGAAATTTCATTGAGAAAACATCAGGCCTGGAAATCAGCAAGTGGGCAAAATCACAGATTATGTATAAACCCCTAAGGGACTTCAAAGGCCACCTACACATAAGTTGTTGATATCCTAGCAAGAGAGTCTACTGTGTGCAATAGCTTCTCATGCTTAAGCAAAAACAAGTTTTGTAGGAGGAGATAAAAGTGGAAGAACATCGCTGGCCGAACAGAATCTATGAAAAACCCACGACCTATTAATCTGCCCTGAGAGGGATTTGGTGTAAAAGAAATTGGAATCAGGAGACGTACCGCACACAAAGAGGACCGATTGAGGATTTACATTTGGGAGTCTGCTTGCCATCACTGTGCTATTTCACCAATCCTTAGACTGGTCCAATCCTTTGGTAAGAGGCTGTGTAATTGGGTGGACAGTGGAGGATTCTTCTGTCTATGCCTTTTCTTTCCAAGCACCAGCAAACCTATGAGGACTTTGCATGGACTAAATATTTGATAATTATGTGTGGATTTTCACTCCTCCTTATCCATTATTAATGGGTTGTTTGTTTATAACTTCTTATGTTCATGTTACGCTGTTAGCGCTGCCCTCTGTAGAGAGATGGCAAAAAAAGCACAAAGTGGTAAAAATCCTTTGCTGGGGTAATGAGCTATCAGAAGGCAATGTCGCTTTGTCCTGAATGAATATGTAACTACATTTCTAACCTGAATAAGGCCAATTCTAGGACCCAAGGGTGCCATGAAGACTACAATTTTCTTTCCTTCCTCCACAGGTGGTAGGAAAGAAAATTGCTCAATCTCCCTATTAACACAGTTGGTGTTGATGAGGGAATACCTACCGCAGAGCTATTGTGTTCTGCAGGAGGGAAGCATTCTCTGACGACAGAACACAATGATCACTGCTAGCAGCTATAACCGCTGGCAGTAATTGCATACATAAATTCAAACAGGCTGGTTGTACCGAAGTTGATAGATGGATATTCAGTACAACCAGCCTGCCCATAGATGGATCAAATTCCCTGCTGTTTCTTGCTGAACTGGCCAAGATTTTATTCATCTAGCTCTGAGGAAGAGGCAAGTCCTCGAAACGCGTCAGCCTATTGGATGTCTACACTCCCTATTGCGGACTGTCACTCAGCGCGGTGTTGACCCAGCTGTTCTTTATGATCTGCCTTGACTTTATTGTCATTTGTGAGTACAATGCCTACTTTTTTTTTTTATTAAACATTTTTTATGGTAATGCACTAGGCCCGTGCGCCCTCTGTTTGTTCTTTCCTCATTCATTTGATTCATCTATGGCTGACTTTAAAGCGGAGCCCACTCCAAAAGGGGAAGTTCTGCTTTAAGGATTGCTCCCCATTGAGGATTGGCACCTTTGGGGAGCGGGTACTCGAATTTTACAGATACCGCTCCCACTTTCGTTCCGATCGCCTAGGCCAGGGGTAGGCAACCTGTGGCTCTCTAGCTGTTGTGGAACTACATTTCCCATGAGACATTGCAACATTACAAAACTGACAGTTACATCTATGACTTGCAGAGGCATGATGGAACTTGTAGTCCTGCAACAGGTGGAGAGCCACAGGTTGCCTACCCCTGGCCTAGGCGATCGGAAGCGTAAAGTGTCCTCCCTCCCTCCCTTTAGTCTTTTGGGACATGTGACAGGTCCCAGAAGACTACAGGACCATTCATGAAGAGCAGTGCTACTCGCGCATGTGCAGTGGGTACCCGGCTATGAAGCCGCAAGCTGTCACAGCCGGGTGCCCACACTGAAGATGCCGGCCTCCTGGAATACAAGACGGCCGGTGAAACGGGCTGCGGGACACACACACCGCGGGACCGAGGGACAGGTAAGTGGCTGTTTTTTTAAAAGTCAGCAGCTACAGTTTTTGTATTATTTTTTGATAGGTCGAGTGGAACGCCGCTTTAAGCAAGATGTTGACTGCAATGTCTGTGAGCACAGAGAGTGTACTAGGCACACTCTTCAAGGACTACCTGCAGAGCCGTGACACAAATGTTGGAGGATCATGCAACAGACTTCCGCTGGGCAATGTTGGAAAATGTAGCATGCAGGGCAGTTTTCTAATGCAGAGGCAGGAATGGGATCTGTAGAAAACAATGGGTTCACCTTTGCCCATGCTATCTATTTCCATTCCATAGTAATAGAAATTTCATAGAAATATGGATTGTTTGAAGGAGATTTTATAGTCTGTGTGGTCTGTAGATTTCCTATTTCCAGATCCCCGCACGTTCTCCACGGGCAGACACCCTTTTCAGTGGTTTTGTAGCATTCTGGCGGCGTGAATTAGACAATATCTGGAAGAGAAAAGGGGAATTTAGACAGCTGTACAGAGATCAGTGTGAGGGGTTGGTGAAAAAAAAAAAAAAAAAAAAAAACTACTTACCTCCTTCTTAACTGCTTTGCTCTCTGCTGGTTTCCTAACAGTCGTCCGAGATTTGGGGACAATGGGTTCCTTCTCCTCTGACCTGCACAGGTAGATTCAATGTGAGTGATGGCAGATTTCCACATATACATAAAATATAGAGGAGGTTACAGTGAGAGATATGTGGATACGGCAAAGAAAGGAGCAGAATGATCTGGGGACGACATTACCTTTGAGATGGTTGGTTTTCTTTCAGAGAACGGCGTAGCTCAGTCACATCTAAATACAGAAATCAATAAAATCTCTCTTGAGAAGAAGAGAATAAGGGGGGGATATGATCTCCATGTATAATACATAAGGGGGGATATGATCTCCATGTATAATACATAAGGGGGGATATGATCTCCATGTATAATACATAAGGGGGTATATGATCTCCATGTATAATACATAAGGGGGGATATGATCTCCATGTATAATACATAAGGGGGGATATGATCTCCATGTATAATACATAAGGGGGGATATGATCTCCATGTATAATACATAAGGGGAGATATGATCTCCATGTATAATACATAAGGGGGATATGATCACCATGTATAATACATAAGGGGGGATATGATCTCCATGTATAATACATAAGGGGGATATGATCTCCATGTATAATACATAAGGGGGATATGATCACCATGTATAATACATAAGGGGGGATATGATCTCCATGTATAATACATAAGGGGGGGATATGATCACCATGTATAATACATAAGGGGGATATGATCTCCATGTAAAACACATAAGGGGGGATATGATCTCCATGTATAATACATAAGGGGGACATGATCTCCATGTATAATACATAAGGGGGGATATGATTCTCATATACACATGGTGATCATATCCCCCTTATGTATTATACATGGTGATCATATCCCCCCTTATGTATTATACATGGAGATCATATCCCCCCTTATGTATTATACATGGAGATCATATCCCCCCTGATGTATTATACATGGAGATCATATCCCCCCTGATGTATTATACATGGAGATCATATCCCCCCTGATGTATTATACATGGAGATCATATCCCCCCTGATGTATTATACATGGAGATCATATCCCCCCCCCCTTATGTATTATACATGGTGATCATATCCCCCCTTATGTATTATACATGGAGATCATATCCCGCCTTATGTATTATACATGGAGATCATATCCCCCCTTATGTATTATACATGGTGATCATATCCCCCCTTATGTATTATACATGGAGATCATATCCCCCTTATGTATTATACATGGAGATCATATCCCCCCTTATGTATTATACATGGAGATCATATCCCCCTTATGTATTATACATGAAGATCATATCCCCCTTATGTATTACACATGGAGATCATATCCCCCTTATGTATTATACATGGTGATCATATCCCCCCCTTATGTATTATACATGGTGATCATATCCCCCCCCTTATGTATTATACATGGAGATCATATCCCCCCTTATGTATTATACATGGAGATCATATCCCCCCCCCCCTTATGTATTATACATGGAGATCATATCCCCCCCCCTTATGTATTATACATGGAGATCATATCCCCCCCCTTATGTATTATACATGGAGATCATATCCCCCCTTGTGTATTATACATGGAGATCATATCCCCCCTTGTGTATTATACATGGAGATCATATCCCCCCTTGTGTATTATACATGGAGATCATATCCCCCCTTGTGTATTATACATGGAGATCATATCCCCCCTTGTGTATTATACATGGAGATCATATCCCCCCTTGTGTATTATACATGGAGATCATATCCCCCCTTGTGTATTATACATGGAGATCATATCCCCCCTTGTGTATTATACATGGAGATCATATCCCCCCTTGTGTATTATACATGGAGATCATATCCCCCCTTGTGTATTATACATGGAGATCATATCCCCCCTTGTGTATTATACATGGAGATCATATCCCCCCTTGTGTATTATACATGGAGATCATATCCCCCCTTGTGTATTATACATGGAGATCATATCCCCCCTTGTGTATTATACATGGAGATCATATCCCCCCTTGTGTATTATACATGGAGATCATATCCCCCCTTGTGTATTATACATGGAGATCATATCCCCCCCCTTGTGTATTATACATGGAGATCATATCCCCCCTTGTGTATTATACATGGAGATCATATCCCCCCTTGTGTATTATACATGGAGATCATATCCCCCCTTGTGTATTATACATGGAGATCATATCCCCCTTGTGTATTATACATGGAGATCATATCCCCCCTTGTGTATTATACATGGAGATCATATCCCCCCTTGTGTATTATACATGGAGATCATATCCCCCCTTGTGTATTATACATGGAGATCATATCCCCCCTTGTGTATTATACATGGAGATCATATCCCCCCTTGTGTATTATACATGGAGATCATATCCCCCCTTGTGTATTATACATGGAGATCATATCCCCCCTTATGTATTATACATGGAGATCATATCCCCCCTTATGTATTATACATGGAGATCATATCCCCCTTATGTATTATATATGGAGATCATATCCCCCCTTATGTATTATACATGGTGATCATATCCCCCCTTATGTATTATACATGGAGATCATATACCCCCTTATGTATTATACATGGAGATCATATCCCCCTTATGTATTATACATGGAGATCATATCCCCCCTTATGTATTATACATGGTGATCATATCCCCCCTTGCTGATAGCAGAGGAACAAGGCAGTAAACAGAAATTACACCCAGTGCTTTGCATTGAGACATGTACACCCTTTAGAGTTCTATGCTTTGTTCATACTCCATGTCTGAGGTTTACAACCACCGTAACAGGTAATGTACCGTAACTACCACCATCATACAATAGTGTTTCCTTCTCCTATGATCTCTGTACATCTAAGCTGTTCTGAGTCCTGGACACTTCCTCCCTCCTCTGACCCCACCACCATCATAATGAGCACACATGTCCAGCTTTCATACCTGGGTTCACATGGGATGCTTCCTTCTCCAACTCATTAAGGGGATCCCCCGGAGTGCGGTCTAACAGCTGCAGGAGAGGAGAGCAAATATTACATAACAATGCAAACTCCAGCAGGTAGAAATGATGTTATAGAGATCATGAGTCTGCTCTTTATTATAGTGATCCCCAAAACACAGAAATACTAGATGGGGATTACAGCCAGCGCACAGCGTTCACACTAGTCCATGCTATGAAAAGTGATCAATGGTAGAACACGTTTCAGAGTATGGCCAACCAGCCACTAGGCATTCAGGGGTGATCCTACAATCTCATGAAAGCCTGTTTTTTGTTTTGTTTTTTTAGGTCCTGCTTAAGGGCAATTTACATTGGAACGAATGCACTACAACTGCGAGCCAAAGTATGCACCACAATCAGTATCTAAACTCAAGAACAAAACACTAATATATTGCAGCTTACCAGCTCTTACATGTGAGAACTGCATTTCTTTTTTTTCTGGCTTTTTTTCCCCCCTCTTTATTTTTTACTTACAATAAAACACTTCCTGTCCTAGGCTGACAACACTCACTCACTGCATCTTTCGAGAAGCAGCGTTGTCACCTTAGGCAGGGGCTATGGTAAACTTTCACCCTCCTATTCTCCATATCTTAGAGGGGAAAGGTTCTGTAGTCCTCTGAGGGAACAATGTAACTGATAGAAATGAAACACAAGTATAGTGCACAGGGAAGTTATCAGCAGACATTTCAACAGGTATAGTTTTGTTTGTATTGAACAGATACAGTATTATTGTTCCTGTAGATAAAGAGTATACTTTTTATACCATCATTTGTTCTGCTTAAAAGTACATCAAAATATGATTTAGGTACATTGCACTGTAAAGTTATTTATTTATCAAATGTTCATTTATTCAGTTTTCAATGTCCAAATTGAAAAAAATAAATCGTATTTTTGCTATAGTGGTCCTTTAAAGAAACAGCACCAGGGCAACTCACCATGCGGATGTAATATTGCAGGAGGGGATTGGGAGTAGCTCGGTCGTCATCCGCTCTCCGGTTTGGGGTAACTCCCGCAGCATTTAAAGAAGGTTCCTCTTGAAAGGGGTGCTCCGGGAAATGTGGGGGAGTTTGTGGACACTTGGGGTGGGAGAGACAGAAGAAGAAAATAAGTATGAATGAGCAAAACAGTCCCTTTATCTCACCCCCTGATGATGCATTTAATTCCTCCTGCTGAGTTCATTCTGCTCATTAGTAGAGACTTCCCACCATAAACCTGTAAATAAATAATAAACACTCCAATCCTCGGAGAGGGAAACATTTTCACTGTCCCCTATCAATGAATAATCTGATCGTAAAGATCCACTGATCTGCATTTGTAACTAATATGGACCCGTTTAA